AGTCTTGCACTCAATATGGAAAGTGTATAGTCGTCCAATATTCTTAAATGCCTACCTTTATATCAATAAAACCTGAAAACTGTACTTATATAAGCATTTTCACATTATGCAACAAGCTAAAGGGAGAATGTAAAACCAGTTTTCAATAAAATACATTCAATACTAGTATACGGGATCGAGGTCAGGATACAACATTTACAATACCAATATTCCGAATAACCGAGTATAAATGCATTATTAACAAGCTAATTCAAAGAATATGTGTCCCCTGTTTTAAGGAGATAAGAATTTCTGTAGATTAAGGGGGGGGGGGGAGGGTGTCGGAGGGTGGTTGGGTAGGGGATGGGACACTTAAAGTGGGGCGGGCGGGACCATAGAGCGTTATGAACAAAAAAATAAGCTAACCTAAACGCTTTTTGAGATATCACTCGGAAATGAGAGGTTTTCATACAAACAATTTCTTTTTCTACCTTTACCTTTTGACATAGAAATAAATAGGGGTCATTTTAAGCCAAAGCAAGTTGTGGTATAAACTCAAATTAAAAAAAGATCATAGGCTTCTTAAGATATCCCATGATAATAAAATGTTAAAACAGACAGAGGGGGGGGGGGGAGGGGGGATATTTTTATAGACCAAAAAAAAACGAAAATAAATGCCTATTTTCTCCCAATTTCAAAGTGATTGACAGCTAAAACTGTGTATTTTATTGATATATATACTAGTATGTTTTACTTATTTGTGTAGAACATGAGAAAAAATCTGCGTAACATTTAATTACATCCAAGATTTTTCAAAATATGGTGATGCTTGAAAGTCCGATTTCAATGGAAAATATCATCAACTCCTCCCCCCCCCCTTATTTCAAGAGTTGGAATAAGGGATAATGTACTATTTAGCACTGGTATTAAAATAATGAATCAAATACCGTTTAACTGTTTTTTATATTTAATAAAGATTTTATGGCTAAATTGCCATTAATATTGAATAAAATGGTAGCAAAATGTAGGCGGGAATTGAGAGTTAGCGTACATAGTTCTTTATATACCACTGTGACCTTGAACTTTGACCTTCTGTCCATATGGGCACACATTCATATGATGCTAGTTATTGTTGACCAGAACTGTAACTTTGTTTCTTCATTTGTTGTTTAAAACACAAATATTAGTTATGACACAGAAAAAATGTTGTTTAGTTTTCTTAAATATCTATCAAAATCGGTCATTTTGACCTTGACCTTTGACCCTTAGTCATGAAAATTGATTTTTTAGCTTTGTTTTTGCTATTGTTTACCATATATCTAAATTTGATTTAATCCATTTTAAAATACTCAGGCAATTACATGGATTCTGATTGTATCTACGTATTGTACTTTTCTAGGATTTTGAAAAAAAGCATAAGTTTGTAACCATGGTAACAAGAAAACTAAATACGAATACCAAGTAGTTCTTTGTAGTGTATATTAGAACTGTATGTGGACTTTCAAACCAATGTATTCATTTTTTCCAAACTATCCGCAAAAATTTATACCAGCCTTTTCAAAAGACCCTAAAATCTACAATTTTCCACAAGAAAAATCCTACCTATAAATGAGGGATATTTTCTCTATGAGGAAAAAGTTGCTGAAATACTAAAAATTTTCTAAAGCACTGTAAAATGATGTATTTTGGCAAAAAGGTAAAGTCATGTTGATAGCTTGTTCCATTAAAGACTTTTAATAAGTCAAAAATGGTCATTTTTCATCAAAATTTAGCGATTTTTAGGCCATGAAAAATGTATGTTGGTTGCCATGGTAACCATGGACCATAGCAACCATTTTATTATGAATTTTAGGTACATACATCAATATAGGAATGTATGCCAAGTTTCATAAAAATCCAAGACCATGCGTGCCACACTCCCTATATAAGAGTTTAAATGCTTACAGAGAATGGCTATTAACATACCACATGGTAATACATTAACATACCACATGATAATACATTAACATAACACACGGTAATACATTAACATAACACGTGGTTATACATTAACCTACCACATGGTAATACATTAACATAACACATGGTAATACATTAACGTAACACACAGAAATACATTAACATAACACATGGTAATACATTAATATACCACACAGTAATACATTACCATAACACATGGTAATACATTAACATACCACAGGGTAATACATTAACATAACACACAGTAATACATTAACATAACACATGGTAATACATTAATATACGACACAGTAATACATTAACATAACACATGGTAATACATTAACGTAACACACAGTTATACATTAACATAACACACAGTAATATATTACCATAACACGCAGTAATACATTAACATACCACATGGTAATACATTAACATAACACACGGTAATACATTAACATACCACATGGTAATACATTAACATACCACATGATAATACATTAACATAACACATGGTAATACATTAACGTAACACACAGTAATACATTAACATAACACACAGTAATGCATTAACGTAACACACAGTAATACATTAACCTACCACATGGTAATACATTAACATAACACACAGTAATACATTAACATAACACATAATAATACATTAACGTAACACATGGTAATACATTAACGTTCCTCATGGTAATACATTAACATAACACATGGTAATACATTAACATACCACATGGTAATACATTAACATAACACATGGTAATACATTAACCAAATGGTAATACATTAACATAACACATGGTAATACATTAACGTAACACACAGTAATACATTAACATAACACACAGTAATGCATTAACGTAACACACAGTAATACATTAACGTACCACATGGTAATACATTAACATAACACATGGTAATACATTAACATAACACACAGTAATACATTAACATTACACATAGTAATACATTAACGTAACACATGGTAATACATTAACGTTCCTCATGGTAATACATTAACATAACACATGGTAATACATTAACGTAACACATGGTAATACATTAACATAACACACAGTAATACATAAACATAACACACGGTAATACATTATCGTACCACATGATAATACATTAACGTAACACACAGTAATACATTAACGTAACACACAGTAATACATTAACATACCACATGGTAATACATTAACATAACACATGGTAATATATTAACACACCACGTGGTAATACATTTACATAACACATGGTAATACATTAACGTACCACATGATAATACATTAACATAACACACAGTAATACATTAACATAACACATGGTAATACATTAACATAACACACAGTAATACATTAACATAACACACAGTAATACATTAACATAACACACAGTAATACATTAACATACCACATGGTAATACATCAACATAACACATGGTAATACATTAACATACCACATGATAATACATTAACATAACACACGGTAATACATTAACATAACACATGGTTATACATTAACATACCACATGGTAATACATTAACATAACACATGGTAATATATTAACGTAACACACAGTAATACATTAACATAACACACAGTAATACATTAAGGTAACACACAGTAATACATTACCGTACCACATGGTAATACATTAACATAACACACAGTAATACATTAACATAACACATAGTAATACATTTACGTAACACATGGTTATACATTAACGTAACACACAGTAATACACAAACATAACACATGGTAATACATTAACATAACACACGGTAATACATTAACATAACACATGGTAATACATTAACGTACCACATGGTAATACATTAACATCCCACACGGTAATACATTTAATTATTATGTGATTGAACAATTTCAATCTCTCTGATTGGCTGAAATACACGAATGTGTAAAGAACTATGATTTCTTAATGGTGAATATAAGGATTTATTTTTCTCTATATTGTTTTATAAAAAAAATAGTTTTGGAAAGCTATTTCACTTGCTACCGACTTCATCATTGTTATTAAATCATCCTATTGACCTTAAAACAACAATAATTGTATAATTTATACCAAATTTACATTTATTTGATCTATTTGACAAACTGCTAAACCATTTTTTTTAAACAACGCTGATTGAGGTAAAAGACAGCTTCAGTCAAAATAAATTCAAAATTTATTTTTTTTTTTATCTGTTTTTGGTGACATCTCTTTATGAATTATTAATTTTAAAATGAGAACTTAAACAACCAAAAAGAACTGAATAAGTCAACTTTTTGCACAAAAGGAAATATAATAAGTAAGTATACCCCTATCTAAAGGAAAGATATGGATATACTGTTTAACCCTTGACATGTGTTTGTCTGTGAGTCTGTGTTTATACTGGTCCTAACCTAACTTTCCTCACAGTTTTGTCAGGAACTACTCATCACAGATGCATTTTGTATGGTATGCATCTGCCCCTATCAATTCTCCGTCGCTGATGCTTGAAATTTTTTCTTTAACCATGTCATATGTTGGGATTCATTTTTTATGCAAATTCGATATCAACTTGAGAGGGAAACTTTTATCAGAGTGTTTTATAACAAGTTAACATTCGCTTACATATTTCTTTTTTATTCTTGATTAACGCTATGCTTGTATTCTGTTCATTACACTAATTAAGCAAATTCTATCTTTCAATATGTAGATGCAGGTTAATCAATCATGTGTGAAACATTTTTATGTAAAAGTAATTCATCAGTGACGACATACACTGCGGAAGTGTTTTAAAAAGGACCATTTATGCGTTAAAAGTTTCTTACAAAAGACATTCATAAGAGGGGGGGGGGGTAAAGATTTGCATAACCTTTGAATCAAATATAAGTATCCTACGATATGGTCTCGGTCTTGAGTTTAATATCTGCCAACATTTCGTTTTCTTATTACGATATGTTTAAAAAAAGTTGTAATTATCTTTTTTCTCTCACGTAGAATTGAAAATTCTAATTTCTATTTAGAACATTTTTATGGAATGTTAAATTTTCTACAGGTTGTAAATACAATGGAATAAAATACGAAGAAACATCTGTTTTTCCCTCAAAGGATGGATGTAATGAATGCGTGTGTGATCGGGGGCAAGTCCAGTGTACCAAGAGGAAATGTTGTAAGTATATAGAACTCAGAACGAGGCTAAGACACGGAACCAGTCCAGCGTACAAAGAAGAAACATTGTAAGTATACATAAAACGAGGCTAGGACACTGGTCCAGTGTACAAAGAGAAAATATTGTAGGTATATTACGTAAACAGGTGAAGTTCCAGTTTATCAAAAACAAAATCCAAAATGATATTTAACATGAGATGACTCAAGTTAAGTCAAATGTACCTTGATCACGTGTAAAAGCTACGAGTATTTATTTAGGTGCATAGCTGAATGAGACTACTATAAGATGTCACTTCACTGTCAATAAAATCTACGAACTATGAATTGGTCAATTAAGTACTTTTTTCAATGTCTTGTCCATTTAATGGTATCTGATACACCCATCTTTGTCCCTTATTGCACTCGTGTGTATACAATGGTATCTGATACATTTCTCTTTATTCATATTGCAGTGTGGTGTCTATACAATGGTATCTGATACATTTTACTCTATTCCCCATTGCAGTGTCGTGTCTATACAATGGTATCTGATACATTTTACTATATTCCTCATTGCAGTGTCGTGTCTATACAATGGTATCTGATACATTTTACTATATTCCTCAGTGCAGTGCCGTGTCTATACAATGGTATCTGATACATTTTACTATATTCCTCATTGCAGTGTCGTATCTATACAATGGTATCTGATACATTTTACTCTATTCCTTATTGCAGTGTCGTATCTATACAATGGTATCTGATACATTTCACTCTATTCCTTATTGCAGTGTCGTATCTATACAATGGTATCTGATACATTTCACTCTATTCCTTATTGCAGTGTCGTGTCAATACAATGGTATCTGGTATACACCCCAGTATAACTTTAGAGCAGTTGATATGTGTATTAGATTAACTTCTCTCTGTCTCACATTGCAGTGTCGTGTCAATACAATGGTATCTGGTATACACCCCAGTATAACTTTAGAGCAGTTGATATGTGTATCAGATTAACTTCTCTCTGTCTCACATTGCAGTGTCTTGTCTGTACAATGGTATCTGGTATACACCCTAGTATAACTTTAGAACTGTTGATGTGTGTATAAGATTTACTTCTCTCTGTCTCACATTGCAGTGGCGTGTCTGTACAATGGTATCTGGTATACACCCCAGTATAACTTTAGAACTGTTGATGTGTGTATAAGATTTACTTCTTTCTGTCTCACATTGCAGTGTCGTGTCTGTACAATGGTATCTGGTATACACCCCAGTATAACTTTAAAACTGTTGATGTGTGTATAAGATTTACTTCTCTCCGTCTCACATTGCAGTGTCGTGTGTGTACAATGGTATCTGGTATACACCCCAGTATAACTTTAGAGCAGTTGATTTCTGTATCAGATTTACATCTCTATCTCTTGTTGCAGTGTCTTGTCTGTACAATGGTATTTGGTATACACCCCAGTATAACTTTAGAGCTGCTGATGACTGTAACATTTGTAGATGTCTACCTACAGGAAAAGTTGAATGTACGCAGGAAACCTGCAAAAGAAAGGGTAAGCGAAAATCGAGATTGATATTCCTTTTTACAGAAGTTTCGTTCTGCGCAAGAAAAATTATGGTTCACTGTTCAAAGGTAGTTCCTTGAGAGATCTGGCCTAGATATCATCAACTGAGTACAGATTTAAGGACAGATGATACAAGCAAACTTTTATCATTTTTTTTTAAAAAATAACAACCAGGGTTATGTTTTAATGAATAAAATGAATAAGTTTCAAAAGTGGTAGTTTGAAGGGGAAAAAATTTGTATAGAATAATAAGGGTGGTTTCAGAAGGGTAGAATTTAAAACGTTACAGAAGCTTTACAATTTCTTTACATTCTGGAAATTTATTATTTGCATCATTTGCAATGAAATTAGCTCAAAAAATATATACAAATACCAGGCATCCATGTTTTTGTTCGTATCATCAAGTCAAATAATCAAATCAATATAACTTTTAAAAATACTTTTGATAAGACACAATTTTCACCATATGTTTTAAATGAGATATTATAGAACCATACAAATTCGTGGTAGCGTATGTCTTATAAATAACAAGCGATCAAAGTCAAATTTTTGACTAAATTCTGTTCTCAGTTTAAGGTTTCCAGGCCTTGTCTGAATTGCAACCCTCCACGGTGTTGTCGTTTATTAAGTTTTAAATACTGAAAGGGAGTTTCTAGTTTACAAGCAACAGACAAAACTCATTGTGACACAATCTCTTGAGAAACCACAAGTATAAATGAATAGTACGAACCTCAATATAAGTGTATTTGGCAGCCTCATTTCAATATATTTTTAATTATTTTTTTTCAAGAAGGATATGGAGATAACGAACAGTATTCAGTATCAAAGTCCATAAAACAATGCAAAAAAAGAGCAGAGCAAACACGGACCCCCGAAACATCAGAGGTGGGATCAGGTGCCATGGAGGAGTGAGCATCCCCTGCCGACTGGTCACAACCGCCGTGTGCTTAATAAAGATTATAAAAAACACCGAAATTTATTTTCCAAAGAGAAAAGGAATTTTAATCGTTAAGGTGTATTAAATATCAAACATAAGCAATATTCAAAAAATCACAAATGAATCTTAAGGAACTAGCGCGTAATAATAAATTGTGCTTATCAAAGGCATATGAAATTTTGAAGTTATTTACAAAACATTATAGACTGTGCATACAATGGACAGCGCTATCTCCTGGGACAAACATTTCCCAAGGGGGACAACTGTAATGCGTGCTTTTGTCACAACAGAGGAATAAGGTGCTCCGAGATATCCTGCGATCGGGAGTAATGTTTGTTCGTTTGTTTTTCTGTGTTGAACTTCCCTCTCGAAAATTTTTTAAACTCATTTGGAGATGCCACCATTTGCCGGTAGCCAGCTGAATATTTCGACTAATACTCGACCCTCATGACAACAATTAGCAGTGAGGGATCTTTTTCGTGCCAACACCTAAAGCAACATGGGGCATGCATTGATTAAACAGTCTCATACTAAACCGATCCCTGTGTTTCACAGTGGAATTTAGACCCGCGATATGAGGATCAACTTTCTAACCCTGCGTCAGGTGATTGAAAGTAAATAGAAAACTTAATTGGATGCAATTATATATTATATGGAAGATGTAAAGGCGTGCATATTTTCTATAAAATCATTGTTTTATCTTTTACTAAAGTAAGATACAGCTATATTAACCGTTTTATTTAATCGGAGAAACTCATAAAAGTGACAAAAAATCTGTTACCAGTATAAGATTTAATCTCCTTTATATCAGGTTGGAAAAGGAGGTAGTACATCTTTGCCTGTAAGGAATTTGAATTTTATTTTATAAACCTGACTCTTCTGTTCTTCTATAACTAAGACGTTCCTCTCTCTCCTTTGTCTTTTTGTCCTGTCTGTTTTGCTTCTGTCTGTCTTAATTGATTTCTAGATTAATTGTCTTTCAGATGATTTTTTTTGACATATTAATTTTTTTAATCATGTTTACTGATTCAATATTTCTTTTAAATTCTAGATGTTCACTATGAAGGAAAATATCGCTAGCTAAATGTAGAGAAAATAATCTTGAATAGTTATTCAAAGTCAGACATTACACGCCAGTACTGAATTTTATTTCATTTACTTTTTTACTTGTTCTCTCTTTAGGAAAACGTTGTGACCTTCCTCTAGAACGAGGCTCATGCCGTGCCAGGCTGCCGAGGTGGTATTATAATGTTAAGCTGGGCAAATGTGAAATGTTTGAATACTCTGGGTGTGACGGGAACAGCAATAATTTCTTGACTCTGAAGGATTGTGTGGAACAGTGTGAATTTTAAAGTCATTTCTGGCAGGTAAAACCTGAATGTCCGATCGTTATATTGGTTTATCCATTCTGGGACATGCTTTCTAGGGACGAAAAAAAACCTAAATGACTTGTTGAATTATTTGAAAAAAATTATTTTTTGCACACTTCCCTGTATCCTTTTATATGACCACTATTTATCCCCCTCCCCAATTATCCATAACTAAATTTTTGGGAACTTAAAAGATTATCCAAAAAGAAAAAAACTTCAGAACATTCCCCTGTCACGTGATACATTTACCAATCTGTGGAGTGATTTATGGAACTAAAGTATCAAGTAAAAGTTAAGAAAAAAATGCAGAAAAAATAGTTACTTTCTTGAGACATTAACGAAAGATTAAACCATTTTTTTCAGATTTAAGGATTTTATTTACAATAAAGAGTTGAAGGACTACTCCTACCTCTAATTCAACAGATGTAAAAAAAGGAAACGGAAGTCATAAAACTTCATCTACTGTTATCTGACAAAATAAACGGTTTGTTTAAAAGTCTTTTTGTTGTTTGCCTTTTTTGTATTATTTTTTCTTTCAATACGTTAAAGCCCTGTGGGGATCCAAGTTAGAATAGGTCCTCAGTACCCCCTTGCTCGTCGTAAAAGGCAACTAAATGGGGTGGTCCTTCGGATGAGACCGTATAAATCGAGGCCCCGTGTCACAGCAGGTGTGGCACGATAAAGATCCCTCCCTGCTCAAAGGCCATAAGTGCCAAGAAAAGGCCTAAATTTGCAGCCCTTTACCGGCAATGGTGACGTCTCCATATCAGTGAAATATTCTGGGGAGGGACGTTAAACAGTATACAATCAATCAATCAATACGTTAAAAGAACACTGTATATTAAATGGAAATCAATGAATTCAATTTTAATAAATGATCAGCCAAGGATGGAATGATAACTTGTTTTGGTTTCCTATCTACCATCAATACAGTCGTATGTGTGCGCAAGTGAGTTAAGGCTAAATATGGATATTTCTATGCAAATGAGCTAATAAAAATTCATAATTTGTATATTTTTTGTACAGAGAAGATTCAAATTGATTTTCTTATACATACTTAGTACCCACAGTTTATAAATGCAAGTGCACATTATGACGTCATATTATGACGTCATTGTTCTCTTCCATTCATAGTATTAAATTACATCAACAAAATCACGTCGGCGCAAGGGCATATCCTATCTAATTTAAAATAAATAATGTATAACATTAAGGAGAATATTCTTAAAATTAATAAAATTGCTGCACAAATCCTATGCACTTTCTCAATCGATAAAAATTTTAGAAAACTTACACTGGACTGTGAATTTTTACCCTGTTTAAACTTAAAACTGCAGGAATAGTAACTAAACAATTCCAGTGCCGGCATTTGTGCAGCAATATCGTAAATCCTTGGAATATCCTGCGTCTTTTTATACCTTGTTTTTGTAAAACAAAGTAAGGTATGCCCTTGCGCCGAAGCGATTTTGTTGATGTTTCTTATAAACTTCTGTAGTACAGGTCGATGACGTCATAATATGACGTCATAATGTGTACTGGCTATCGCATGTCGTGGGTACTAAGAGTGTATTATAAAACAAGTCATAGCATTTTCTGTGCGGAA